ATTAGGTTCTACAAATCAACAGACAAGGGGTTCATACGCGAGTGCTGCAGGACCAAAAAACTGTATTGCTAAAGTTTACCAATTTTGTGAACAAATTCTCAACATTAAGGATGCATAAACGCATAAATCGTGCTCATCGTATGCCTAATAGACCAGTCACAGGAAAAAAACTTTAAGGATACCGAGTCCAAAATAGTTGTGAAAGAGGCTTTAAAACATGTTGACTTGAGAAAAACACCATTTGCTTTGTTTGACCAGCTCCCCCGTGAAGTACAGGAACGGAACAAAGGAAGCGACTCATTCCCATCATGGAAGATGCGCGTGAAAAAGGTCATAGAGCTTACCTTGTGCGTGAGAAACTATATATCAACAACGTACTATACTCCCCAGACTCGGATTAGGACGGGAGAGAAGAGTGTGAACTTTCGGTAATTTCATGGAATGTTGAAGGACTCAAAAACTGTCTATCCGATTCTGAATTTGTTAATTTTGTTTGTAACTTTGATTTAATTTTTTGTTGTTAAACTTGGCAAAAGAAATCTGATGAATTTATCTTAGAAGGTTATACATCTATTTGTGTACGTAGAGCTGAAAGTGTATCAATTAATAGGAAAAGTTTTAGAAGTCATGGGGGAATATGTCTGTTTATTAAAAATGTCATTCTTAAAGGTGTTTCTATTTTAGAAAAGGATAAACATGGATTTTTATGGGTAAAATTAAATCAAAGATTTTATTTTAGTTTAAGTACAGATATATGTATATGCTTTGCATATATTTCCCAGTTAATATGTTTATTTTAAATCACATGATATTGGGTTTTTTGAGCAGCTTGAAACATGCATTATTAAATATTCTAAGATTGGTAAAATATGCATTATAGGTGATCTAAATGCTAGAACAGCATCTAGGACTGATTCTATTGTACCTTCTTCTGTATTTGATATATATATTGATACAATCGACAGTCACTATGATGAATGTCCTATTGATATTAAGCAAAGGTACAGTGAAGATGAAATTTGTAATTCTTCAGGTATTAAGTTATTAGATATATGTTGTAGTAGTGATCTTAGAATTGTTAATGGCTGATAAGGTGATGATGAGAATGTAGGACGCTTCACATTTATGTCTAATAAAGGAAAAGGTGTAATAGATTATGCAATTTTATCATATCACTTATTTCCCGTTGTCAGTAATTGTGATGTTCATGATATCTACTCATTCTCTACACATGTACATATTCAAGTGAATTTTAAGGCAAGTTTTGTGAGTAATAATGTTAGTACTGATAATTGTTGAGTAAATAAACTTGTGTGGGATGTAAATTATGTAAACATTTATAATGAAGCAATGTTCAAAGTTAATACTTCAAAGTTAATTGATATTGTTTCAAATATTTGTTCTTCTAATATTACAATTGATGAAGGTATAAACGATTTTGGGAACATACTGTGCAATAATGCATATTCGATTTTTGGTGTGAGAAAATATGTAGGTAGTGTAGGGGGTAACAGAGAAAAGAATAACCCATGGTATAATGAGAACTGTCTGCAGGCCAAGCGTGACTTAAATTATACTAACAAACAATACCGTTTGTCAAGGACACATAAAAATTATTGTGTAGTTATTGGTAAGCGGCGTTTTTATAGAAAAATAAAGTGTCAAGCTAAACAATTGTATGTAAGTAAACAGAAAGAGGAGTTGCATTCAGCATCAAAAAGTAATCCAAAAAAGTTTTGGGATCTTGTTAGAAAATTTAGAAAGAAATGTAAAATACCACTAATATAACTGCGGAGGATTTTTATGATCATTTTAAAGGATTATTTGCTGATACTGATTTGTATTATGATCAGGCTATTGAAGAAATTCTAAATCAGAATGTAAATTGTTATGTTGATTTTCTAGATTGTGATTTTACAATTGACGAGGTGAATAAAGCTATTGAAAAATTAAAAAGGCAGAAAAGTGCTGGTGAAGACTTATTAATTATACCAGAAATCTTTATTGACTCAAAACATATCTTATCTCCTATTTTGTGTAAATTATTTAACTACATATACAATAAGGGAATTTACCCTGAATCTTGGACAAAAGGTATATTAGTCCCTGTCCATAAAAAGGGGGATACCGACAATGTAGATAACTATAGAGGTATAATGCTAACTAGTATCTTTTTAAAAATATTTTCTCAATTACTTGATAATCGTGCACGTCTGTTTGTTGAGAATAATGACATTTAAACTGACTTTCAATTTGGTTTTCGACAAAAACGCAGTACTATTGATTGCATTTTTGTTTTACAGTCTTAAATTAATAGGATTACTCAGCACGAAAGAAAGAAAATTTACTGTGCATTTGTCTATTTTAAAAAGGCTTTTGACCTTGTTTATAGAAATGGTATCTGGTATAAACTGTTAAGTTATGATTTATCATCTAAGTTTATAAATATGTTAAAAGGTATGTACAATAATGTTAATATATGTGTCCGTTCCAATGGTAAATTGACTGATTATTTTGATAGTTACAATGGTGTTAAGCAGGGTGAGACATTATCTCCCCCATTGTTCATATTGTTTATAAATGATATGGAAAAGAGTATTTTTGATATAAATGCTGATTTAATATCCTTAAACGAAGTTTTCATGTTACGTTTTGCTGATGATACAGTTTTATTTTCCTACTCTGTAGATGGTTTACAAACTTTAATGAACAAACTACATGCTTACTGTATGAAATGGAATATATCTGTAAACAGAAGTAAATCATGTGTAATGATCTGTAAATTAGGTAATAGGCAAGAACATATTGATGTATATTACGATAACACACGTTTAGATGTTGTTCGTAAATTTTGTTATCTAGGTGTAACATTGTCTGCAAATGGTAAATTTTTTGGTGCTCAAAAAGCTTTGTCAGAACTGGCTTTAAAAGCTTTTTTTACATTAAATGCTTTATTTGAAGCTGTACCTCTTGGTCTTAGTGAAAAACTCAAGTTTTTTGACTCAATGATACTGCCAAATTAAATTATGGTTGTGAGATCTGGGGGTTCCACAAAGCACCAAATATGGAAAAGGTTTATATTAAGTTTTTGAAATCAATTTTGAATGTTAAATACCAGACAACGAATGCAACTGTCTATGGTGAGCTTGGTAAAGTGCCTCTTGATATCATAAGAAAAGAAAGAATTCTTAAGTATTGGTGTAAGATTGTTAGGTCTCCGGATACATTAATTCATAAATGTTTTATGCATGATAAGCTTAACCTTGTGAAAGATTCATGGGCCCTAAGGATTAAATCACTGTTAGATGATTTGGGTTTCAGTTATTTATGGAATAATGTATGTGTTACTGACCTACAATTAAGTAAAGTAATAGAATGCCTATATAGTCAATTTGTCAGAATTGCTTTGGTACTTTAGACACTATGCCTAAACTTACTACATAAAAGAGGTTTTGATATTGAAAAATATTTGTTATGTGTTAAGGTGAATAAGCATAGAATATCATTAACTAGACTGCGGTGCTCTGCTTATAAACTTGCAGTAGAAGAGGGTCGTTATCGAAACATTAATAGGATTGAAAGGAAATGTATATTTTGTAACATGAATGTCATAGAAGACGAGTATCATTTTGTACTTGTCTGTCCGCAATATCGTACTATAAGAAATCAATGTCTCCCAAAACATTATTGCCATTGGCCAACTATTCAGAAATTTCAAGCACTGTTAACTTGCAGCCAATCTGGTGTGTTATGTAAACTTGCTAAATATGGATGATAATAAACGTACTAGTCTTATCGCTCAGTAGTAATGTTATTGATGTAAAAAACATTGTTGATGTAATCATAAAATAATGCTGCAGTAATGTTTGTTGCATACATACAATTGTTACGATAAGCACAGAAGTATAAGGGAGGTTACTCCTAAAATATGATGCATAAATGGAACCAGATTGTCTCCCTTTCGTTTTAGCCTTAGTTCTATATGTCAATAAGTAAAACGTTCTTATTTTTTTTATTGATACTAAACAGTAACTTTGTTGAAGTAGCATAGCTTTAACTTATAATATAAACCAGTATTTGAACACACCGGTTTATGTAGGTGGCTGAAATGATAATTTTAAAGAATAAGTTTAAACGAATATCCAAATGTGTATATTTCACAGGTTTAATATCCTCTTACTGACCTAACTTGAGTCGGTGTGTACAGCTATTGGTAGACATACTTAATTTTACTTAGTGTGATGTGAATTGATTATGTATGTTTATATATTACCATGCTCTTCTCAAATATTGTAACCGCCGTCATCATGTTAAAGGCGACGAACATGTAATGTTCATATGCTGAATAAAGAATGGAATTGAATTGTTCGATAAACTGAACAAATGTATGTAACACGTATCTATTCAATGTGTTAAATTAAATTTGTAATTAAATTGAACGAAAGAAAAAGTTATCTTTTGTTTTCAGCACTTGTATAAAATGGCCTTAATATTAACAATCCAAACCCCTATTTTGAGGCTAAAAGCGAGGCCGATTAGAAAATCCTTTTTATTGGAACTAAATTACATTAAAAACATTATTTTAGAGCAGGCAGACGTCGGATGAATATTCCAGGATCGACCTAAAATAATGTTTCGCATACAAGCCAAGCGTGTGATTTCCCTTCTGGTACACACATAGACCGCTGAATATCTTTTAAGTCATGAGATGCTAATCTTTATACAAAAAACGGGGAACGGATACCTCGAAGAAAGGTACGAATTGACTTTGGTAACATCAAACACAAAAATATCAATGTACACACTGGGATGTGAGAGTTTTACGGCATGTTGAATATTCTACAATGTTGAGGGATTCTATTTTGTTAGAGTATAACTTACCAGTTTATTGAGCTAGCTTATTAGAAGATTGCCATTATGACATCTATATACAACAGCAATACCAAAGGCCCCAAAGAACTTCATTGCCTTTCCCTCAAAACAATACACGAAACCTCAACTACGTTGCATTATTTTCATTGCAATAGATACATACGTTTCATATCAATATTTTAAGAATATTTGATAAAAACACAAATATGTTCAAATCCGTAGTGCAATTTTCAGGAATGTGATTATTAAATGAAGAGAGAAAGAAAAATTTGTAAGCGCATCTCTATTTGCTGTCACTAAATTACTCGAGCCAAAATGACGATTTGGATTAGAAAATAAATTTTAATACGAGTTTCCAGCTTGAGAATATTTCCATATTGGCCACATATGTGAAGGCAACACGCGTAAAAAAGGGACAACAATGGAGAAAGAAACGTACATGTCACATGCAATAAAATACATTCTTAATGATATCTAGTCAGTTTGTGAAAACAGATTATAACGGGAAAAGGTCAGTCACCGTCTTCTATGACGTCACCAGAGTACTGGTAATCCTTGTCAAGGAAGCTAAATTTCCCAACAGTTGTTATTCCATAATCTTTAATAGTTGCCGTTGCTTGTAATTCCGTTCCTTGACAAGTCATATAGACTCTCAGCCCAATTGTTTTGGCCATGATGTCTTCCGGAATTTGTATAGACAATGTTCCAATGCAGCTGCAGCCTGGGTCATCACAGAATATGGGGTCGTAATCTTCTGTCTGATAGACCTTCCAAAAGACAGATGGTGTCTTTCGATTTATAACAGAAAACGACGTCCCGGGTTTATCCTCGCCAACGTAAACAGTTTCCCCCTTTTCTATCTGTTTACTGAAGGCATTGTCTACAACTTGTCGGTCTTTTAGCTGAATCATCCGTTCTTTTGGATGTTTGTGCTTATCAAATGGTCGGCGGGTATGTAGACCATATGTGTAGGGACTTATTCTCGAGGCTATGATTCTATCATTGATTCCATACATAACAGCTCCCTGCAATATAGCGGAGCTCGCCGACGCCGGAGCAATCACATTCAATCTATTAAAATGTTCTCGGATGGATTTGCTCACAATCACAGACTCTGAGAACCCTCCAACCAGCAAAATAGACGTAACACCTCTCAAGTTTTTGTTTTTAAAAAGCTGTTCGATATGATCGATGATTTTGTCAGTCGCAGTTGCAAACAGACTTTTCATTACTTGCGATGGCAGTCTCAAAATATCATCATTTAGTATTTGTATATTTCTTTTAAAACGTTTTCCTCTCAGTTCTGTCTTCTTTATTTCTTTATAGATATCTGCTAAACCCCTTGGAATATCAATGTCTGAGATTTCAGTGTGTGTTGTGAACTCCCTTTTCTTACTTTCGAAGCATTTTTGAAGTGAAATCCAACCGCCTGTCCTTTCCGAGCAAAATACCTGGAAAACTTCAGGATCAACCTAAAATGACAATCAAGTAAATTAAGTATCCTCAATACTGTGGTACCCATAATTCTTTATACTCCTTTATGTGGGCATTGATTACCTCTCATGTTTATTGACTTTTCATTATAAGTGCTCTCATATTTAGAAATTTTAAATGAACTAGTTTACTAGCCAAAGCGTGTATGCTATTTTTCTGTACTTAATAAGCATTGATATGAATACGCACAATTTAGCTAATCCCCCAGGAGTGCGCGGAAAATACCAAAAATGAGGGCAAAATTAGGACTAAAATAGTGTTCATGCTTTTACTAAGGTGTCGTTTTACACGCAGGACTGGGAATTCAGTTGATAAGCTATTTGCAACCTTGAACATATACGGAATATTATGGAGTAGCAGCTTTCTTATTTTTGGGAACCAACGAAGAAAATAGTCTGACACTTCTTAATATGGTACCGTATTTGTCACTAACATAATATGGATTTTTCTACCTGTTGAATGGTATGAGCGCTTCTTGATTTGCATGTAATTTAGGGATAACTTTTATAGGTATATAACGAATAAATATATATATTTTGGATTGCAGTTCTCTTTTGAGTCATTATGATAAAATAAGTATAGACATGTTCCTGCATTACTGCGCTTTTTAAATCATGGTAATACATGTAATACATGAACACAATAATGTAAAGTTAAAAACATACAATGTCCTTCAATAGATTCTCAAAAGCAGCATTGACCATTTGACCTCCCCAGGCACCGCCTGTAGCTGCGTGTAGTTCCTTTAATAATCCGTCGGGTAATACTTCATGAACTGTCGTATCCAGCGTGCCACCTGAAATGTATTTTTATTGAATACTCTCCAAGCAGAAGAGTTGTCGTTCGTACATCATAAGGAAAGCATGCCGGTGTGCAAGAGCATGACAGTCGTACAATTACAAATAGCCTGTACAGTAATAACAAAAAAAAAGAAACGCTCCGGCTGTTGCCGGTTGATTAAATGGCAATAAAGCAATACCGGTAGCTGTAGTCAATTAAGTTAACACAAATCTTCTCTTTAAGAAAGTAACAAGCCTACCAATCATTCCGTTCAATTTGTATAGACTGGAACTTTTTTATTTCTTATATTTAGCTTTGTGTTTTTATATATTTGTTCCATTGTCTTCCAATAAAATAAAAAACATAATACATCCTAGATATTGCCATCCTCTTTTGATGCCCCCAGCTTCTTTTTGATTCCGAAACGCCACATTGAATTTGATGGTATAACCTCGATATCCCCAGTTTGTCTTGTCTGTTAGCTATTCTTAATATTTGCTTTATTGGAATAATGTCCTTACCTCCAAGGTCAGCTACTAGATATCTTTGTCCCGGATTAAATGCAGACAGAAACGGTCCGTCGGCACCGTCGGCTTTATGTATGGCCTGCTCCTTACAGAATATTGCGGCTGATTCTGGTTCCAGTGCAAGCATCAGATTATTATTCGAAATACCAGCCTGTAAATATTAAAAACTACCGCTTTATGATATACAAAAATGAATGACTTAAACAGCTGTCAAATCTATATTGGAGGAAGAATAAAGCAAACCTAGTTTTGCAGCTTTGTATGAGTCCGATAGAATCAGTTTTGTACTAAACAATAAATAATGCCATGTTTATTTCACACAGCTATCGTTGTTTTTTGTTGTTGTTTTTTTCCTAAATGTGAAAGATCTTTCAAATTGTTTCTTTCAGTACAATAATGAGTTGATATAATAATGGTTATTTTAATTAAGACTCAGAAAATGAAAACAATTCTTAACGGAGGACGTAATTTAATGTTGATACTTTTGGACGCAGAATCCTAGAAGGGGGACATATGTAATTTAATATTGAAGTTTTTGTTTGACAAACTAAAAACAGGCTAAAATGACCATATTGGATCCAATAAGTATTAATATTGGGAAAAATCGTTATGTAGTGTGAAATGATTGCTATTTTTTTAGTCATTCACCTTTAAGAAATTAAAATTCAAAGTCCGATCTTACCGCATGTGCTGCTTCCCTCATAAATTGTTTAGCAGATTCTCTCCAAATAGCAGGCACAGTTAGCACCCACGTGATTTCTGTTGCAAAAATGCGGGAATCTAAGGCATTTCCTAGCTTTTCCATCAGATGTGACTAATAGAATAAATACATGCATAAAATTTAATATATGCACAGATACACATTTTGGTAATCTATAAAAATTAATGGTTTACTGTTTTATACGGAATCGTGTTAACGTTCCCGCCATCGACTTTTTCGACACGCAAACACTAGATATTTAACATTACATCACCATTTTTTTTTTAATTTTAACACAAATAATCGCAAATTTACGAAGGACCGGTGGAGAAATTTCAACTTCATGAATTCCCGATTACATTTTCGTGAATTCACTATTTTAATTTTGTGAATTCACGTTTTCAACATAGGGAATTCACGATTTCAACCTCATGAATTCACGACTTAAACTTGATAAATTCACGATTTCACGCATTCTGCGTAGGGCAAAAGCGCAATAACGATAACATACAGTTAACAAGTGGATTGGCAAGGCGGTGTCAAACAGATTGACACGTGACTGGTTGTTATTTGCCAGCTACTTAACAATATCATTCAACCGGATCGTTTTAGTACCATGACATAGTTATTTACTTAAAATTATGAAAATGATTAATCGTAATTTAAGTATTTTTTTATTTATACCAATCTCATCAATGTTTATTGATTTTGTGAAGTGACAAATAGTGTACGTGACGTGCATTTCCATGTGTTACAATTAAGGAACCAGACAAAATGTGTGTTACTATACCACCCATCTTAACTTCACAAGAGTTTGAAAAATTAATTGAATATATTATGTGACTTAAAATATTTCTGTTTGGCATATTAGTCAAGTCGGATAAAGGATAAAATTAGCTAAACTGAACACTAGAAAATGCATTATATCACGTTCCGACTTTTTTTCAGAATGATATTTAACCTCGATTTTAAATGTTAATAAAATTAATATAAAAATATTATATATTATAATTATGTAATAAAAATATTTTTTTTTAATATGAACGTTTTCAACAACAATTAAATTGATTTCTTTATTTGCTAATATATATATTTCAACATATTTTACAACAATAATCTCAATGGCAGGTCAGTGATCGTAAGGGGGAATTCTTAAACAATCGTCTTTTCCATGCCTTTTTGGGGCAATCTTGGCCACAAAGCCTTGAAGGCATCTTTTGTGTTTCTGTTAAAAGCTATTTTATATGACTTTCTAATTTTTACCTTAAACAAACTCGGAATTGTCTATGAATTTCTACTTCATTTCTATGTAGGACATGGCTTTTTTGCCCTACGTAATTTGCGTATGCGCGAAAAAATACGACTTCAGGTCATTTTTTCATAGCAACGGACCGCATCGTTAAAACGTCTATATCCATGAAATATCGAACAATTAAAGTTTCTAAGATTACAGCTCGACAACTAGACAATTTTAGTCGAAAAGTTGATGACCGAAACAGAATTCCGTAGTTTACAAATTTGTGACCAATTTTTTAGCCCATTTTGGCAATTAAATTGATATAAATAAATATGGAGTATAAACTTTTTGATTATATATATTTATGTACCCATTTTGTTTTAAATTTTGAAATGCAACATGACGATTATGCAGAACATATAATAAAGTTATATTTTTTATCAAAAGAAGTAGACCAGTCGCTTGTCAATATTTAATAATCACTTGGAAGAACTTTCTTTTTCGACTCTTGATTTATTCTGTTTTAAGAAAATGATAAAAATGACATTTACCAACTTTGACAATAGAGGAATAATACAAAAACATCGTTTCAATTAATAAAACCTTAACTATCAATTTTGATGTTTATCATTACAATTTTAATATTCATTACGTCATGATACATGATCTCTATAAACGAAAACGAAATACAGTTAAATTCATTATGCCATAAATAGTTTTGGTGTTTATTTACAAATTGAACAGAAATTCAATATTAATTCAAAAGTCTACTTTTGTTCAACACTATAAAACATTTATTGATTTTTACTTCGTTTTGTTTTGTAGACCGAGTCAAACTTTGAAAGACACGTAAACATGATAATAATATCTGGGACCTTTAGAAAGTCGACAAACCAATATCGGTAATATTTATATATTGGTTAAATCTTTGAATAGAGCACAATTGAGAAATGTTAATTGGATGGTATTCGTAGCCGTAAGTTCAAATCCCAAACAAAGTACATTACTTCCATGACGGGAGATTTTAGATTTTTCAGTCATTTTACTCTTAGATTAAATATGAATTTTCTTAACTTATCAATCCTTTAATGGTCATGCGTTTAAACTAGCCACAAGCAAACATAATGATCCAGAAAGATAACTCCATTTTGATCATATTCTGAGTTAGCTCCCTTTGACGTCAAACATTAATATTAGTACTTACTATGCTGACTGTAATAATTCATTTATTTATATAACTTTGCATAAAGATAAATATAAGGTCGTACTTTAATATATCTGATAGCCGCGGTAAATACATTAATTGCCAGGAATGGTTTCCCTTCACTGTCTTCCATCATCATGTCACGTTTCAGTTCCTAAAAAAAATTATAGATATTTTACTTTTTATAACATTAGATAAGAACATGACTTGTATTTTCAGTCAATGCATTTGCTGGACAGTAAACAGTGTAAATGGTCAATGGACAATTGCTCATACTTCTTGGTATTTTATTACTAATAACTATCGTTGGAGTAACTAAGTGCCCGTGAAGGATGTAACTTCTAATATATTTGTCATATTTAAGTATTTATGTTAAGAAACAAAAGTACAAATGTCAAACTTACACTTTCATGATGGAGTTTCATTTTAAAATACCGGAAGTAGTACCACCCTTTGTGTTCGTTTGTGGCGGCCAGTGTTTTATACTTCGTCTCAGCTTCAAATCCAAAAGAATGGAATTCCTTATTTCTATCCATTAAAACTGTTGTCGGGGCTTGAAGGCCTGTTTCGGCACTCCCTACCCATGCTTGGTCCGTGCGTATAGATCGGATATAGTTTTCATTTTTGACATCCCTTTTAAGATGATAAGCATAACCCGTGCATGTTGTCCCAAAGTCGATAGCTGCAACGGCTATTCTAGTGTTCGAACCAGGTCTTGATGCCATTACGTATTCATACGAAACGAGACTTGCTCAGAATTTAGTGGATTGGTAACCCGCTATTTCTTTTCACACAACGATGTGTTAATAAACATTCTTATTATACTTATAAATCAAATATATTTAGAAATATCCATTAATGAAATTAATTTTTCATTTAATTTTTTTTTCATATTCCGCATTTGCACTGTAAAAAAATATTTTTCTGCAGTGAAACATATTTTCCGTATTTTCACTGGTGCCTTGCCGGACTACTTTCTTCTTAATTCAGCCAATACACACAAATAAAAGGTGTAGACTTCAAAATGTTAATGTCAAAAACGAGAAAAATGCATATAATAAACAGAAAATTCAAGTTTTTTTCCTATAAATACACGATTGTGGTATGAAAATTATCATATTTCACTTGTGGTTACCGCCATTCGTGAACAATTTATTTTCATACTTGTCCACTCGATGAAAATAAATCCTGTATTTGTAGATAAAACTTGAATATCCCCTATATCTCCCTCAAGACTCTGTTACAATTCATAACCATAGCAACTAGTCATATTTTGACACTAAATAAAACATAAATCACGAATTTTTTCGTAATTATATTATTTAGTGTTTTCATCTTTTTTACAATCGTAACAATATTTTAAACCTCCTTAAACACATATACAATAAACTGATCAGTAAATGCCCCTTTATCATGGTTTATGATCAAATATTAAAAAGTAAATTGAATAAACCTATAGATACCCTCATTCAAATTTTATGTACACTTGTAATCTAATCATCATAACTTGGTAAAGCGATTGCGTGAAATTATTAAACTCGCCTTTCAATTCATATTGAATCCATTATTCATAAGAATACGAACGAAGATTACGAATATTGTTAAAATGGCGAAAAGTTGCGATTGAATTTTTCGATACATAATTTATAAATCTGATTTGAGATACGAGAACCCCATGATTGCGGGTGTCATTTGACTATTTCGTTTTCATTCTGTAGGTATTACACCACTAAATATGGTACTACATTAAGATATAATAACTACAGGGAACATAACGCTATGTAACTGATATATGAAACATTGTCACGTGAATATTCGTGCCTAAATAAATATTATCTCTCTTGTAATATATATCATTTAGAAATATATATGAGCCAATAAATTTTATTAAAAAAAATCACATATACTGCGCTAAATTTAGTTATCTAGATCACGCAAAAGGATTTATCATTATTGTAAGTATAGATAGGTATGTAGCATATGCACTGCAAAGTTCTTATCTCTAGTTCAAAAACTTACACGTACAAGCGACCACTGTGTAAAAATGATATATAAATTTATAAGGTCTATTGTAGTATTGACCTTCATTTCCAAAGTACAAGGCGACTATACTTGCCTCTGTAATTACGATGTGGAGCGACCAGTCTATGCCATGGTAAGGAATTTTATTTTATAAATAAAATCTAAGGATCTTTGGGACAGAAATTTTCAACTGTAATTCTTAATGTGATAAACAACGATTTTAACTTGTCAATGAGTAGTATCCAAAAACTAGACCAATAACAAAAAGAAAAAAGAAAAGTTTCCAAAATGGTAGAATTTGTAGTTAAGATTTCGTATCATACACACATATCTAAGTTAAACCCTACTAGTATTATTATTTACATTCCTTGCTTGGACTAGTGTCATATATGGAAACGTGCCGTGACTCGTTTGTGGGTCAAGTCCTAAAATTCTAGTGTTAAGCGATTGTCACATTTTATCCGCTAGGCTATCTGTCCTGCTATATTATTTAACTCACGGCAGTGATTGTGAAAAAAGAAAAAAAAAAAACAACAACAACATAAATCATCATTTAATCATCGTTAAAGGCACATTTTGCCGTAAAAATCCATATTTCTTTAATTCGTTAGAAATTTTAAACATGTGTTAATAATTGTTAATAAGGGTTTTAGAGCATATAAGATGTTTTAACAACTGTAGCAAGTAGCACTGTTAAAAACGTAGCAAACTGTAAACAAACACAAAATTCTAATTCACTTCAATTATACAAACTGTCAAAAGAGCAAAAGTGAAAATATAGTTCATCTATGTAGCAAATGAGTATATTTTTTTGAAACTGTAATAAGATACTCAAATAAAAAGTTTTCGAGAAATAAAATAACAAGCATTTCTAGTGCATAATAGACATTTAACAAAACATTATTAAAACATTTACGAAGTTCTATGTAGCTTTTGCATTGTTTTCAAATCATGGGAATGCAGATGATCTATCAAACGCAGACATTTTTCATTCGTTTTATGAACTTCAATTATTTATTTTTTTCTTGGCAATTTTCAATAATTTAGTGATTTAGTATTTTGCACGGAAGTCAAAATACTGCATGTACTCTGTTTACATTTTGTTACTTTAACAACAAATATTTTAACTTTCTGCACTACTTTCTTCAGGTAAAATACATCTATCATGCTCTAAAAATTTATTTAAGCGTTATAAAACTAATATTAACCCTTTCTTAAGGATGAAAACTATATTCCTTGCTGAAGAATAATGTGCCTTTATTCTAATATGAAATGTATTTTTTAAGCCGCGTCATGACAAAACCAACATAATGGGTTTGCGACCAACATGGATCCAGACCAGCCTGCGTATCCGCGCAGTCTGGTCAGGATCCATGCTGTTCGCTTATCAACTCTATTACAAGTGGAGAAACTGACAGCGAACAGCATGGATCCTGATCAGACTGCGCGGATGCGCAGGCTGGTCTGGATCCATGCTGGTCGCAAACCCATTATGTTGGTTTTGTCATGACGCGGCTCATTTATGTCAAGGCGGACCCACAGCCGGGAACCAGTCCTATTGGTTACATGTATGAGTTTGATTGTAAAGAAATAATTCCGCACATAGAAACACCACCTGGATGGAACGCCGTAGCCTTTGAACACCAGGCAAGTTGTTCAACTCTCTAAATACCTATTCTTACTTTGAATTTGAAAGAGTCCGATTTGACTTAAACTTTGCAGCGGTTGAATATTATTGAAACTACAGTACAACCTTTACAGAGCGGCCACTCGTAGTGTAATAACTTTACAACAATTGTATTCATTCTGGACAAAGTGATATATTACATACATCTTAACTTTTCTAATGCAAAACCACTCAGTTACAACCAAATATTTTTGCTCTACTTAGGTGGTAATGTAATATAATCTTGGTATAATGGTTTATCTGTGGCGGTAAAACTATGATAGAATGCAACAACTATGAATAATAATGATAATAATAATAATAATAATAATAATAAAAATAATATAAGCATGATTGCTTTTTAATTATAGTTCGCATACGTGGAAGACGGTACGGCACAACATGTTGCTAGGCAACTATGTCCTGGAAGCCCTCCTACATCTGACATCGGTAGGTGAATTTATTTTGATTAAAATAATCATGATTATAGGTACACATATAAGTTTAGTTATACTGTTTATGCTGCAGCATTCATAATTGTGTTCAGATTGTTATTTATCTTGATATGATTTGATTTTTGTCCTAATTAAAAAGAGGATTACAATGTTTATCGGTTAAACATTTTGCGGATATTGTGTTTAGGAATAAGTTGTGACATTAAATGATGTAATTTATGACGTCACAAAACCAAAATTACGCCTCTATTTGTTAATTGTATTGTCAAACACTGATTTTCAATGTCCTTTTTAATTGTATTAGTTACACACCTTGTTTCTGTTTCTCCAATAAAACGCTAGAACTGTCAACTGTTATAACGGCACCGGCACGAGTTATTATCCACTTCTTGAATTATGATACATTTGAAAGTCGAGACAGATATCAAAATTCAAGATGATGAGTATTTCCGGTGGTATTGGTTTGCTTTGTTGGCTTTGTCTAAAATTTAATTATTTAGATACCGTATCATTAGCATAATAATAATAACAACGAGTTGAGATTTGTACAAACGTTCTTATTATTGTATCTTTTCCTAGGATATATTTCATTAATTCTATATACATTTTCGTATAAGTCACAACAACAACAACTTCAACGACGACAGAAAGACCGTCCATACCTTCTTCTACAACCTTACCTACAACAAAATCAACCATGATGACAACTATGACGACAACAACAACTAAACCTACGACAACAACAACTAAACCTACAACAACAACAGCAACAATAACTAAACCAACAACAACGCAACAAACAACACTCACCACTCGTCCTACCACAAACACAAAGCCGACAACAACTTCGCCGCTCTTTCCAAATTTCAGTCCCGTAAGACTTGTCACATCATCAACAGCTAAACCTATCACGGGTATGTATATAAGTCGTTTTGTTATACCTTTTATAGTCATGGTCTCATATCAACAGATATATTGCATGATATATTTTCGGCATTATATCAGAATGCATTATATGATACATGAATTATATGACAGAATTAATTAAGAGTAATTAATATTTTTTTCTTTGTTTTAAGTGGCAGCCATCTTGAATTATTAGAACTTTATTTTTTTGATATATATTTAAACAGGGCTTAATACTATTCAGATTTATTCGTTTTACAGCACAGAATCATTAAGGTTATTTTTCATATTTTCGTTTATAACAGTTCAACAACTTTCTACTGGTTTAAATCTTTTATTCACTAGTTTATTTTGATAAAACAGTTTATATTAAAGTACTTTTGTCAACCTGTTAAGTTTAAAGTAACTTTTAGTTATGTGTAAATAAAAACTTAGTTCATTAGAAATTTGGTTGATTTAAATTTATTCAACATTTGTGTTTTATTTCCCTTTGCATTCAAAGGGTGGTGTCATCCTGACGATTAGATTTTATCCCATTAAAGAGTACTCCTGAGCAAACTAAGAGCATTATGTAATAAGTAACGAAATTCTATTTATAGAAAACATAATAAGGCTTTTAATTTTCAACACCACAACAATGGTGTCAAGTGGGATAAAGGCCTGCAACACTTATTAACATATTTTTTCATTACCACAACACCCGTGACCCGTGAGTTCAGAGATAGGCGCAGTAACCATTTCCGCATGTTATTGTATCAGTTATAAAAAAGCAGTATTTCAAGTGACAAAACATATCGAACTACTGCTAACACATTTATGATTATCAACAATACAATCGTTTAAATACGATGATAAATTCATTTGTGCCGACATTTTAAGTATTATACTTCCGGCAGAACAAGAGTTACGCCAAAATGTAAGGGATACAATCGATTATGACTGTGCGGTTAAGGCAAATATAATACGTATACACGGAATGAATATTTCTTTTAAATGGGATTTATTATACTTTATTACCATTAAGTGTTAGTATTTTTTTCCAAAAAGTGCTACTATATTTTCTCTATAACTTGGCGGTCATGTTACCACAGTATATTGCAAGACAAGGGAAAGCTAACTGGTCACATTTAGAAATTAACAACATACCACCTATTTCTTTGACAGGAAACATAAACTTGTGCCCGGCAAAACTTCATCAGTACACGCGGGAAGATGGTGGCGCCCTCACTCAATATGGCGACTATTGCTATGAGTTGGTTCCGATCAAAACGATCTGGTCCAAAGCAGAGCGGGATTGTATGGCCAAAGGCGGCGATCTTTTTCATGTCGACGGTCCGGGGCTGCAAGATTACATTTATAGGTGGATTAAATCTTACAATTTTGATCATGCCGTATGGATGGGGTTGCATGACGTACGCACAGAGGAGAATTTTGAATGGATATCGGGTATGTCTGATTATATACAATATAGCTAGTTTCAAGGTGTAAGAATGTTAAAACTATGTGGCTATATTGGACGCCATCTTGGATTCTGAAGCGTTGTGAAAGCAAAATTTTGTAAGATTTTGATTTTTGTAAAGTAGAGACTATATACTTGCTCTGGGGTAAGTTTCAGATTTGGTATTATGGCCCTTGGCTCTTAGGCTAGTTATTCAACCAAAGAGAATCCATTCTAATTCTGATGTTAACAAATAATAACCATTTGAAATTATTCAGTCACAGAAGACACACTTGTCTTAGGTATTTCATGATCAAAGAAAAGAATATTCCATTCTTAAAATTCATTTAATCGTCTCACATATTCTAGAGCAAAATAAATAAATAAATAATATATTTCCTAACAGGCGATCACGTGATATATCTGAACTGGTATTCGGATAGAAAAGGTAATCTAGCCAGCCATTATAATGAAGATTGCGTTCTGTTTGTACCTTATGCGCCATACTACGGTAAATGGGATGACGTCATATGTGGCTCAACAACTCTATTTGGTGACATAGGACAGCAAAATCCATTTATTTGTGAATATTGTAAGTACTCAAATACTGTACAATCTTGGTTCGATATACGGCTTCCTTTTTAAAAGATAAAATTATAACAAAAAGTTTCAATAGTTTGTGAGTGGCGGCATGGACGAGTGTTTAACGCGTCGGACTAGTAATCTAAGGATTGCTGGCCGCGTGGGTTCAAACCCCGTTGTTTCCGCGAACAAGAAATTTACACTCTTCCTGAAACGGAGTGTTTCAATTAGCATATAGCTTCCAACGATCGCACTTAATGAATTAGTATAAACTATAAACTCAAAAGTTTCCACTCACCTTGAAAAAAGTGTACTCATTAAAACATCATACATTATTCAATACTATTAAATGGCCGAAATTATGATTTTTAGATACAGATGAAATAATTTCTAGAGTTGGCTTTTTATGAAATAGTTACTTATCAATAACACATTTTCTCTCTTTCAGCAATACGGCCACACCACGTAGATACAATAGTCGGATAGACTGACAGAGCAGATGAATTTACTGTCGTCAGAAATACAGAGAAAGATATAAAATATCGTTTGTTATCTATTAATTAGGTTGTATGATGTCTATTAATGAGTCTGGTATTCAAAATATTTTGCTTGAACAACATCAATATAAAATCGGGTGACAATTTTCTTTTAATTTAAAGGGTCATAGGTTTGTAAACATATTTAAAAGCCAATGTGATACATAGTTTAGTTTACAATCAACTATCGGTTCATGAGAAAAAGTTGTTAAAGGTAGATTTTGTATTCAATGTTTAAGACGAAAACATCTATCTAATATATGCACCAGATTAAGCTTGGAGAAAAGACGTCCGATCCTTCTTAAGATAGCAATGTCTTATTCCAATTTTCAGTACATTCAGTAAAAGAATTATAGACAAATACAGTTTTGTAGCAAGTCTGATAAAGTGTGTATGATTTTGTAAAAGTACATGTGCCCGTATATCAGGATAAATTTATCTTTGAAAGAAATATCCTTCACTATCTTTTCACCAAGCATGCACTTTATTCCGTGCAAATTGATGAACACCTGAATTATTCAACATTTTCTGCTTCCCGAATCCAGTCATAAATAGGTGCTCGCGACCTGTTCAAATAACGCTACTGAAATGGATTAGAAAATGACGAAATGTATCATCCTTTAATCGGTTAGAGCAAACGTAAATTATAAAGACACATGAACCAGATAGTAAATATCACCGGTTGATTTTATGTATGTGAGAACTGGGCTTAAATAAAACCGGCGGTTGGATTGCAATTGAACAAGTCTTTAATATGAAAAGAAGCACGAGTTCACTATAAAAAATGATATTAGCAAACGGCAAAATAAACTTCAAAGAAAGATCTAATAGACGTAACCAAAAGTAAATAAGTCCATATAGAAGAAGGTGATAAAACTGAGATTAATAGCAACAACAATGACAGGCATGTTTGATGATGCTATATCCAAGAACATACAACTGTTGGATTAGCTTCTGAGTTAAAAAAAAAAGAAATTTCCAAAGGTATCTTACATAATTCTTGTAGGAGGTTTCTCAGAGTCGCAGATCCCGAACATCCATCTGTGACCATTTAAAATTAAGAGGGTAATGTGATCTTTGTAAGACATTCAAAATTTTACTTTTTTTGTTCTTTTGGACCTCAGTGGAGTTCCTTTAGGACTGGTTGTATGTATTGGCCTTAGATATAATAGAAATAATAAACCGAGGGGGTATGTTTTCTACTATCCCGTTTATCAAACATAATCTTAAGCGCTTTAACTTGTCATGTAGCTTTAGGTGTTAACTCCATCAAATGATCATATCAGAAAGTCTGTTATGATTATTGAAATAGTCTGCCTGCATCCAACATAAATAAAATAGCATACTAATAGTATCATTTTCAATGTTTTTAAATAGCTACGATTCACTAATGTCTAACTGTTTGACCTTTGTATTGATAAGAGACTATAATTATGTACAATGTGAAATTTCTAGTATTTATGAGAAAATATATTGTCAAAAGACTAAAACAGTAGGGAAGTTGCCTATTTCCATTAAATATAGTATTTTTTCGGGAAAGAAACACATAACAGAATAGATTCTATCACAGACAAAATTATAATTGTGCTAAATCAAACACTTTGAGTTCCGAGCATTCCTTACCGACATGTTGTTATCGGGATGGACTCGATTCTAAATAGCAGGAGGTAGAGATAACTCTGCCTCCAGACAGACTCATCCTCGATTACAGTTATATCTCTTTACCCATACCCCACTCTATCACAGCAAATATTTGACTAAACAATTTATAAAACTTTCACAAAATTGATATAAAACAAGAGAGCGTTTATATATTTGGGTCGTAAATAGTTGGAGTCATAGACAGACATTGAGATACAAATGCTCGGTTTCATACTATATTCATTGGGTACATTTTTTAAGAGATCTGACCAACCCTGAACCAAATCAATTTGTGTGATGAATTCGTCCTCTTTTGGTTTTGTGTACAGTCTATTTAATCTTTAGGGGATTTCAATTACAAAAAACACTATAAAAGGAGCTGCTAACAGTAAAGAGCCTGTAAACTTGCTTGTCGCTATACTAAATACTGGCTGCAAAGAATAATCACTTTCGTTGCCAGTAGAGCTAAATAGCACTATATCATATACTTCTTGTAAACTAATATAATTCTGCTCAGAAGACATGAGTCACAGAGGAACACTAAATATACATCTGATATATCATACACTAGTTCTGACAGTTATTGATTACCTAAATCTTACTCCTTTGGGATTGTAAAATCTATAAGACATAAATATGCCAAAATCGCAACTGATGACAATAAACAGGGTCTAGACATGTTGACATGTTCGATAAAACCAATCTATAGTACGCGTTTGATATAGAGGAAAAAAATGTTACTTTTAACATAAAATCAGTATCATTGAATTCACTTAAATGAAAATAAACCAAAATTTCACCGATTTATCTTTAAACATATGAACATAGATTAGGTAGGACATTATTACTTCAGCCATTTTGATATACAAGAATATTTGTGAAGATTAAAATGGGCAATTTATTGCCTTAACAATAAAATATATTTGAAATTCAATAGGTATGTGAATAATATTTATAGGCATAATGCATTAAGATTAAGGGAAATATGTTTTTTTCAATAACTGCTTATTGTCTTTTGATTTATCGGCAAAGTATTTTTAAGGAAGTCGATTTGGGAATTGTATTCTATTTATCGTATTTTTATTCTGTTCCCCTCTGTCCACAGACTTATTGAGCAAGTCTCGAGTAACTGCAACAGTATTGGAAATCACTTTGGTTTCAGAATCTTTACAGTGAACGTTTGATTTCTATGCCATTCATTCTTGTCGGTAGCACTCGCAAGAGTTAAGATAGGAATCTGTGTCGGATAGTGCTCACATAACATAAATGATAGTAAGAATTATTAAAGAAAGCCAAATTTATATGCAAACGAAGGAGTTTTCATGTGTCAAGGAAACTATATTTACATATATACTTTCACCTAGCGTCTTTTTGCTATGCTAAGGTTTTATATTGTGTTTTGCACTAAATATGGTTATACAATACGTGTGTTTTTGAGACCTCCAGATCTTTTAAAGTAACGTGTGTAAAGCGGACAGTTACAAGGAAACAAAATATGATGAAATGCGCTTTTTTCTCAGTTGTGTATAAAGTGGAATGTAGTTGAAAAAGCAAAGAATGACACTATTTGGCATCAAATTAATATTAAAAATGCTACTTTTTGTGATATAAGACTGGAACAAATGCAACCTATTTAAAGATAATTAATAGGTATTTTCGAAATTGCGTATTTGAATGCAGTCGTAGGTTAAAAGTTACCTCACAATTTATCATGATCGAAAATACTAAATGATGCCTCAAAAGAAATATCTAGATGGATACTAACAAACACTACTCAATATACTGAAATATTGAAACACTGGAATATGACATTATTTCAATGCTTTGATACGACAAAAACAATTAGCAAATTAGATCCACGCTCGATTAACATTACATATCATAAAAAGAATCAGATACTGAAAGGTTTGAAATTTAAATTAAGTTAATTCCAAGCTGGAGTATTGTTACAGCGTGGGACTTTAAAGTAGGTTATTTGTTTGGATGGTGACGGAGTAAATCACATATTATCAACTTTGATAAAACGTGTAAAACTGAAGAAACAATATGATAATCTTGATTCTGAATTATTTGAAAGGCAAGCATGGCCACATCAAATCAAGATACTTGTGTTAAATCTTATATGTTAAAACTGTAAAATATCGTAACATTTTAAGAAGAAACGTGTATGCAATGGAATAGAAACAGACAAAAGCTAATGCGTATCTTATTGAACTATGTTTGGACATGTGAACAGAATATGAACGTGACAATTTCACCAGATGACGGCCAAGGAACTTACAATGTGGCTTTTGCTATATTTAGTGTCGTTGCACCAGCGATTTTCATTCTTGTAATTATCATGCTTCTAATGTTCTTTGTAGCACATATTCTGAGGTAAAAAAATATTTCCAGTTTTACCATTGTTGTTAAAACAAACATACAAATGCTTCGACAGAATAAATATGATATGAAAAAGAATTTGTAGTAACTCATTATATTATAATATATAATTAACATATAACTGTGCATCACACATACATCCATTTATCCTCAATCAGACGCATACATCTGTTCATTCATGTTGCAAAAATACGTCTGCATAGATTTGTTTTATTTTTTTTACAGATCACGTGTCATATTGCAACAAGCATATTCATAATGTGTCACAACTCTTTATATATTAAGCTTATTGCGATTCTTTTTTATTTTAAACAAGCAGAAGTCAATGAGCCATATAAAGTCAATACATATATACTATTATCCATTTTTACACTTTCCTATTTAAAGACAACTTAAACACCAATGCTTTATTTTTGTCTGCGGGCGCGTTTACTAGAACAACGTAATCACTGATTTATGTGAGACATAGACAAGTGTAATTTTAGCGTGGCAGCACTGGGAACACAGTTACAGATTGTGTCATTTCTTATTATAGTCCTTGCTATTTTATATTGATTGAACGCCTTTTTGTTTCTAAGACTTTTACCTGCTCCATTTCGGAGCAGTAACGAGAGTGTTTAAGTCCTGGTCCTTCGGGATAATTGATGTCAGTACAGTTAAATGATGAAGATTGAGTACCATTCAAGCTTGTGCTACGGCGAGTGAGGGATGTTGCACTTTATTATTATCCCTCATATAAGACTCAAGCAAACCGAGACTGCAATTTTCATTTAATTTAGTTGTTAGTAATGCTTCTCTCTTTCTCCAGATTTTTAATTAACTGTCTCATCAATGTTACACACCGTTTCACAAGTCAATAAGCCAAAGAAACTCAACTAGAAACATAGACGTATAAACATGTATTTAGTGTACTCTTACACATCGATATAATACAAAGAATGACGTTTTTAACAATGTCACATGGACTAAAGTGCACAATGG